GGGGAAAAAAAAGAAAACCCTGTGATTTGTGCAGTAAAATACAGAACCTCATGTCCTTGCTGAAGGACCTTACTGCAGGAGGGTAGAGCTGGCCGGTACGGGGACCGGACGGACCTTGGACATGGTGTGGTCAGCACCGCTCTCCAGCCAGCTGAGCCAACCGGGCAGCTCTTAGGATCATTTCCAGCCTCCTGACTTCGACTATTACACCTGCACAACTATTTCCTGAGCACCGACCCGGCTGGGGTGTGGAGGTGATGACGCCCTCCCCAGAAGGTGTTGACAGCCAGGGACGTTTATGGTTAGAAGCGCATGTGGACTTATCCCGGGAAACATGACTCTCAAGGGCTTCGGGCTCTGCTTGGTGCCTGGTCCGGGAATGGTGCTCAGATATTTGAAATCTGAACCAGATCTTAGTTTCAAGTGGGTGGAGAAGTAAAGCGACAGAATCCTGTGAAATGACAGACCCTTTCCCTGCTGCCTGGGATGAACGGACCTCAGGTTCACAGTCAAGCTCTACGCTCAATCAAGCCAATCCTTTTAGAAACCACTGCTGGGGAAAAGGAGTTTGGGAAATCTTTCAGAAGGCATTTTATTGTAAGGAGAGGGTGTCTGTTCTTGAACTAGAACTGTTGACGAGCTGGTGAATTTTGTTAAGTGAGAACTTCTAAATCGTGTATTTTTTTTTAAAGCAGAAATGCAGCACTGAGTCAAGCTCTGATCTAAACCTGAGGCCAACCTCGAGGTCAATTTGGAAGTCAATTTAGAGGTAACCTGTAACCTGTTCTGAATCCTGATGTCCCCCCCGTGCCTCTTCCTTTGGGGGCGGGGAGGCTGGACAGTTTTCCCTTTGCTCTTTCATGGTATGGAGGTTGGGGGTGAGGTGGCTTCCGATCTTTTTTCTCCTTTTGCCCAGGTCTTGAGAGTAGATTTGCTAAGCCCCTGTTTGTCAAAAGACCATTTTGCATCTGCTCCGACCCCTTTCCCTGGACCGGCATCTCTCCCTGCTCTTCTCCGAAGCTTGCTCCCTGGACCTTAGCTCCACCTTGCATTGGCAGCCCCACTCCTTGGATGTTCCCAGACTCCAGGTAGGACATTCACAGGCGGCTCTGGGTGTGGAGCTGGCTTGTCCTACCTGCTGCTCCTCCTGGGCAAGGGCAGGGTGACAAGGGGCTGGTGCAGGCCCGGGAGGTTAACTGAGTCTCAGGGCTGGGCTGCTCCCCCTTCCTCTCCCTAGGGGAATCCAGGACTCTGAGTCCCTGGGCTTTGGACTGTTTGGGTGAGGTCCTGGCCCGTCATTTTCCTCTTCTTGCCTTGTTGGCAGGCATTTAATTTTATTATTATTTTGAATTTTTTGCTGTTATCTGGTGTTTTAGTAATGCATTGAAACATTCTATTTACAAAGTCAGTTTTTAAAAGCTTCATTAGGAAAATTTACCAAGTGTTCAACTTGTGACAAATGTCAGATTACTACACTGACCCTTTGCTGTCTGGCAGTTGTACCCAGCAAAAGACAACAGAAGACCCCCGGTGATGCACCCATGTGGTCTCCCACTTGTGTTTTGCTGTTGGGCTTTTCATACTTCTGCTTAACAGCCACAGTTGTGTGAAGTCGGATCCAGGATGGACGAGGGTGGGGCCGGGAAGGAGGAGGGGCGGGGCCGGGA